TGTTATCATAATCTTGACTAGAGAAGCAAATCCCAATTAATGTTTCAAAATATACAGGTACTTGCAACAAAGAATAAAAATATATACCATTACACCGACTTAAAATTAATTTAGGACGAAGTAAGTGTATTATTAGTCCATAACATGAACTTTGAACACAAATCAATGAAATTGTCCTTCAAATTTTGAAATAGTCATGATAATCAGAAGTGATTTTTAAACAAAAAGTGTTATAATACATATATCCTATAAAATTATATTATGTTACATATGGATAGAAATCGTTAGTTTTAATGGTATAAATTATGAAAACTGTCAATTTTAATGTTTTAAATAATGAAAATCATTAGTTTTAATGACATAATTAATGAAAACCATCAATTTTAATGATATAAGTAACAAAAATTGTTAATGTGTTATAGAGTATATAATTTTACAAGATATATGTACCATTTTCCAAATAAGAAAAGGTTCATAGTTTTAACAAAGTTTCCTCACAAGTTATCCGCTTTTCCAACAACTTTCTCAACAATTTTCCTTACAACATTCCGAGTAAATCTATTTCAAGAAAATTGACCTCAAACCAAGCAAACCTAGAATAAGTATCCACTTACATATGTTTAAGTTTTAGTATATGCATGCCAACATATTACTAATTAATTGCCTATTTATGTTAAGGAATTCCATTAAGAATTTAACTAAATTAGTACTCATTGGTAATAAAAATCTTGAGTTTGAGTTAAAATTAAGAATTCACACTTGCCATTTTCTAAGTAATTATTTAAAAAATGGATTTTTTTATCTTGTATCCTTATAATATAAGTTAATAGTATAATAAATGCATTATTTTATAATCAATTTACATAAAAATTTGGCAAAAATTAACTTAAATTTAATCAATTAGTTAATTAAAATTATTCACATGACAATGACATTAAAGTAAAAGTTCACTTTTGTTATTTTTATGTAAATTAGTTATAAAATAGTACATTATTACAACCTTAAAAATATATGTATATAAAAAGAGAGAAAACAAGTAAACAACCCAAGATATGCTTGGATTTGAATGGTAAATATTCAGTCGCTGTTTTAGCACAAAGCTAATGGCGAATTTTGCTTCTAAAGGGTGCTTCGTGTCCCCACAACGTCCTAGAGAAGTGTTAGATAACCCAACAATTAAGGGAAACTTTAAAGCCCAATAAATTGTACTTTATATGAAATTTTGAAATGCAATGCGCATTCTTTCAATGCAAGATGGATGAGAAGACGAACTAACAACATATCCAAAAGTGTTAAAATTTGACTTTTTCCTAACAACCAAACGATGCCAAAATACTCTGGTTCTAAGGTATAAACCCATCACCCCCCCCGCCCCCTCCCTTCCCCACCACCACCACCACCACCACCACCACCATATATATATATATCCTGATTTCTTCATCAAACAGACCATAACATAAGTTCTTGATTTGAAACATCATAAGTATGGCTTCCTTTAATTGCTTTCCCTTAGCTTTCTTCATGGCTTTATCATTTTCAAGCATCAATTTTGGCCTAGCAGCTGGTCGTCTTCAGCAACGCCCACCTCTGTCTCCACTACCAAATGTGCCTGCAGCAATAGGACTGCCGCCTTTGCCGTTCATCCCAACTCTTCCACAGCCTTCATTACCATCTGCGCTCCCACCACTTCCAACAATGCTACAACCTACCTTGCCTACTGCTCCCAAAGTCACACTACCACCATTGCCTAGCATTCGCACAATGCCTCAGCCTACATTGCCTACTGCTCAAAAGTCACTCTGCCACCACTGCCTATAGCATCCCATCATCAATTGCCACAATCCCCTCCATCCCCGTCCTCTCTCCACCTCCTGCAAAATTAAGACCAGCCCCTAGGATTGTACTTGGACTATGTAGTTTCTTAGGGCTGACCTCTCTAAGACCGCAAGAAGTATATATGCTAGAGCCTTCCCATCTTCTCTCTCTCTCTCTCTCTCTCTCTCTCTCTCTCTCTCTCTCTCTCTCTTTTGTGGTACATATATATTGTTTTTATGTTAGAGCCATGCTATGTATTCCTTTTCCATCATTCTTTCTTGTGGGAGGATTTATTTTTATTGGCTTGTATTTCTTATTATATGATGAATTTCATTTCTTCCTTATTATATCATAATAATGAGTTAAGATTCATTTATATAAAATTTTAACTATTCATTTTTTTACTATAAATAATTAAGATTTATTATAACTTTTTAAATGAAAAAGATAATTAATTATTTTTAAAAAGTATGATAGAAAGTGGATAAATCTTAACATTAAGAAATAAATGATTAAAATTTGGGCAATGATTGATATACATTCAGTTCAACATATTGCACAATACATTCATTAAAAAATAATTATTTTTTAATCTAAAATTAAAAATAAATAAATTTAAAGATATAATTATGCACATATGATGCATGAATCAGTTGAATTGATTGTATTAGTATTATATTTTTAATTGTTGAATCAAAAGTGTGTTAAAAAATATATTAAACCGAATATGTACCAATCATTTTCTTTAAAATTTTATATAAGTAATGCGATATAAATGTAAGTGGATCTAATTCCATAACAATATCATGGACTTTCTCATTCTTGGAAATTAATGGAAGTACGTATAATGAAACAAATTGGAGAAAGAAAGAGTTAATTTATTAATTATAGAATAGTTTATGATTCTCTCTTTTAATTGTAGAATAGTTTATGATTCTCTACCGTTGAATGAGGTTAATTGGTTAATTAACCTTGAGCTACAAAACTCAGAAAGAAGAAATCAGCAAGGGAAGCGGCAGACACAAGTGTCATCAGGCTTTTGGTAGAAGAAACAGTATCCATATGCCTTTGGTCCATATGCCTTTTTGCATCCGTTGTTGCATTCATCCTTCTGGCACCCGCCCCCTTGCAATTTCTTCTCACATTGTGCGGCGGCATTCATCACACTAAACTCGCTGCCTGCAATAATTAAACAACATATATATAATATTATTCTTATGAATAATTGATTTTTTTAGTTTGTCTTTTAAGGGATATGTTAAAATTATTTTTGGTTATAGATTTATATAAAAAAATAACAGTTAATGTTAATTTTAATATTGTTATCATATGTATGTATTTAATTGAATAATTAATAAATTGAAATTTAATTTTTATTTCTTTAATACAAATTTATTGAAAAAAATATGTGCATTCCAAGTTAAAAAAATCATGAATAGTTTTACAAATTTTTAAAAGGAAGTTTTGGAGGTTAAGATAGCTGTTATATTAAAAGTCTCAACTTTAAGTAGCTTGAAAATAAAGACACAAATATGAATATGAAGAAAACTTTACCAGAAGTTAGGAAGAGAACAATTAGAAAAATGGCCGAAACTGAGAGATTCTTCATGGTTTGGATTGTTGTTTGTTGGAGCTAATGGTGAATAGTTTTGGTTTTTGAGGATACTGTAAGGACTCTGTGCTTCCATTTATACTAGGAATATTTTAGTTAAAAATATTTTACTTATAAAATAGTTAATGTGTTTTTGTTTACTGGAAGATTAATTAGTATTCAAATGTTAATAAAATATATTAAATATGAAAAGTTAAGAAGTTTAACACTAGAAGCGGATTGCCTTAGCAAGCCATTTATTGGCTTTCCGTTTATCACTACAAGAAAACTTAGCTTCACCGACCAAATATCACCGAGGTAAGAAGGTTTCTCGGTGAAGCATCAATTTACCAACAAGAATCAAGTCTGGAACTTGAGAAACAATAGAAACGTGAGTAAGATATATTATTTAGTTTACAGACGTAACTCTTGTCGGTAATTGAAGATAATACATACGTGCCACTCGTCGGTAATTGCAGCATGTACTCCGGCTGGTGGGAGAAGGACGGAAACCCATATCACCGACGAGGAGAACGCTTGTAAATTCAAATTTGAAACGACAGTCTCGTCGGTAATTAGGATCAATTTCCAACGTACGCCTTCTCGGTAATTTCCACTCCCAATGCACCCCCCCGCCAACCAGCTGGCCGCCTGCGGTAGGCAATGCAGCTTTTTGCTGAAATATGCCGACATAGGCCTTGTCGGTAATTTGGCATTCAGCAACTCCTTGCGAATCCGGTTGCTGGCCGGTGGCGTTGCAGCTTTTATTTCAATACCGATGAGATGCAGGTCAGTAATTGGTACATTGCCAACTTGATGCTCGTCGGTGATGGGTCCGGTCAACGAGAATCCTGATGCAATGCAGAGGTGATCAGCTTTAGACTGTAGCAACATGGGTTTCGTCGGTAAATTTGCCTATGCCCTGCCGACCTGCCCTTCTACTTTCATTTTGGTCTTTCTCCTTCCATTTTCATTTCCCTCTTGTCTCGCGAGTTGTTCTTGCTCCCTCTCCTCTATTCTTTCCTTTGAAGCACTTTAACACATTTTTCTTCTTGCAATCTAATGGATCAAGCAGTGGTAAGTAAAATTTAAGTAGTATTATTATTTTTTATTTATTTTATGTATATTTTATTTTTTTTGAAATTTAAACCATTAAATATTGTAATTAATTAGTTCATTAGATATTAGTTAATATTATTAGATTTTCTTTTAGATAAAGTTGATGAATAATTATGAATAATGTTTTTATAAATTTTTAGTGAAATTTCAACCATTAATAACAAATTTTTTACATTAAGTATTTGATATTAGCTAGCATTTTTAGATTTGTTGTTTTAATCATATTTTAAGGTGAATATATATGATTGTTGTGAGTTTTGAAGGTTTTATATGGGTAAATTTTCATGTCTTACCGTTTCCTGCGTTTCATATCTTTTAATTAACTATAAAACATTGTATTTTTCATAGTTAAAGATTAAAAAAAATATTTAAAAAGTTGAGGGACGAAAAGTATGTAAACTTTAAAGTTGAAGGACCTAAATGTTTTGGTTAAAATAACCATGTTAGTCCCTCAACTATCTAATTTAGGTCAAACTTATTCCAAAACTTTAAAAAGTACCAAAAATGTCCTTAAACTTTAATTTTTAGAACCAAAATAATCCCTGAACTTTTGTTTAGTATCAATTTAGTCCTTAACATTTGAAGACTTAGACCTTCAAACTTTGATTATAAGTACTAATTTATTTATTCAACTTTATAAATATAATTGGAAAAATATAT